GAGGAAAAAGAATGTAAAAGAAATAAAAGTCAACAGAGTACCAGAAACTTGTAGAACAGTATCAGGCAGTTTAATATACTCATCACTGGAATATTTTTACTAAGGGGAAGACACAATGTGTGAAATTTTTCCATAGGTGATTCAAATTTTAAACCCATAAATATTTAAAAACTTAACAAATCCCAAGCCGAAGAAACATAAAACCATGCACAGTCATCATCATATTGGATTACTGAAAGTCAGTAGTGAAGAAAACAGACTTAAAAAGCAACCAGAGATGGGGGCTGGTGCTGTGGTGCAGTGGGTTAAAACCTCAGCCTGCAGTGCCAGCATCCCATATGGGCGCTGGTTTGAGTCCCAGCTGCTCATTTTCCGATCCGGCTCTCTGCTGTGGGCTGGGAAAGCAGTGGAAGGTGGGCCAAGTGCTTGGGCCCCTGTACCCACGTGGGAGACCCAGAGGAAGCTCCTGGCTTCGGATAGGCTCAGCTCTGGCCATTTGGGGAGTGAACCAGCCGATGCAAGACCTCCCTCCCCCCTCTCGCTCTCGCTCTGTCGCTCTACCTCTCTCTCGCTCGCTCTGCCTCTCTCTCTCCCTCCCTTCCTCCCCCCCTCCTCTCCCTGTAACTCTGTCTTTCAAATAAATAAAATCTTAGGAAAAAGCAGCCAGAGAAGGAAGACATCACATAGAAAGGGATAAAAAATAAGGATGACAACAAACTTCCTGGTCTAAGCTGGGCAAACCAGAAGACATCTCTACAACATTAAGATGGAGAGCTGTCTCTGAAGTATTGAAAGAAATTGTCCCTTCAAAATTTTATTCCAAGAGGCTGGCACTGTGGCAAAGCTGGTAAAGCTGCAGCATTGGCATCCTGTGTGGTGCCAGTTCAAGACCCAGCTGCTCCACTTCCGATCCAGCTCCCTGCTGGTGCACTTGGGAGAACAGTGGAGGATAGCCCAAGTGCTTGAGTCTCTGTACCCATATGGAAGACTCAGAAGAAGTTCCTGGCTCCTGGCTTTGGATGGGCCCAGCTCTGGCCGTTGCAGCATTTAGGGAGTGAACCAGTGGATGAAAGATCTTTGTCTTTGCCTCTCTCTCTGTAACTCTTCCTTTCAAATAAATACGTCTTTAAAAAGAAAAATTCAATACCAAGTGAAAATATATTTCAGAAGTTTTTTTGGGGAAAAAGACTTTGAAAATATTTTAACATGCGGCCGGCGCCGCGGCTCACTAGGCTAATCCTCCGCCTTGCGGCGCCGGCACACCAGGTTCTAGTCCCGGTCGGGGCGCCGGATTCTGTCCCTGTTGCCCCTCTTTCAGGCCAGCTGTCTGCTGTGGCCAGGGAGTGCAGTGGAGGATGGCCCAAGTGCTTGGGCCCTGCACCCCATGGGAGACCAGGATAAGTACCTGGCTCCTGCCATCGGATCGGCGCGGTGCGCTGGTTGCAGCGAGCCGGCCGCGGCAGCCATTGGAGGGTGAACCAACGGCAAAAAGGAAGACCTTTCTCTCTGTCTCTCTCTCTCTCTCACTGTCCACTCCTGCCTGTCAAAAAAATATTTTAACATACAGTTTACTTATTGTTGAAGTGCCAATATATAATTGAGTCCATGCAGATGATGTATTGAGTGTATAATCTAATTAGCATTTCTGTATCTTCAGGTATTACTATATTTTATACATTGAAAGCCTTTAGTTATTTTGAACTGCATAATTAATTGTTGTAGACCATGATGTCTCTAGCATTAGAACTACTCTGCCTCCTCAAATGTGACTTGGGACCTGCTATCCTTCCCCACTATGCTTCTAGCCTTAGTGCTCTCTACTTGCATGTGACAGCAGTCTTTTTAAAGATTTACTTATTTATTTGAAAGAGAGGTCTTCCATCCACTAGCTCACTCCCCAGATGGCTGCAATGGCCAGAACTGAGCCAGTCTGAAGCCAGGAGCTTCTTCCAGGTCTCCCACATGGGTACAGGGGCCCAAGAACTTGGGCCATCCTCTCTGCTTTCCCGGGCACACTAGTAGGGAGCTGGATTTGAAGTGGGACTGCCAGGACTCGAACTGGCACCCATATGGGATCTTGGTGCTGCACTCTGGGGCTTTGACCCGCTGCCCCACAGCATCAGCCCCAGCAATCTTTTTTTTTTTTTTTTTTTGACAGGCAGAGTGGACAGTGAGAGTGACAGAGAGAGAGAGAGAAAGGTCTTCCTTTGCCGTTGGTTCACCCTCCAATGGCCGCCGCGGCCGGTGCGCTGCGGCCGGCGTACCGCGCTGATCCGATGGCAGGAGCCAGGTGCTTCTCCTGGTCTCCCATGGGGTGCAGGGCCCAAGCACTTGGGCCATCCTCCTCTGCACTCTGGGCCACAGCAGAGAGCTGGCCTGGAAGAGGGGCAACCAGCACAGAATCCGGCACCCCGACTGGGACTAGAACCCGGTGTGCCGGCGCTGCAAGGCGGAGGATTAGCCTAGTGAGCCGCGGCGCCGGCCCAGCAATCTTTTTAAACTAAAAACTATGAGACTCAGTGTGTCAAAAGATTTGAGCCACAAGAAATTTTCAAGGAAGTTCAGACAGAATAAAAATAGTACTAAATAGAAATTTGTGGCTATATAAAGTAATGTGGAATCCTAAAAATTATAAGTGGGTAAATAGAGAATATCTTTGTATTTCTATATAGTTTGTATTAAAAAGTACTATTTTTCTATAGTACATTTATGTATAGGCAACATGCAATTGAAATTTGAAATTTAGGCCGGCGCCACGGCTCACTAGGCTAATCCTCCGCCTAGCGGCACCGGCACACCGGGTTGTAGTCCCGGTTGGGGCGCCGGATTCTGTCCCGGCTGCCCCTCTTCCAGGCCAGCTCTCTGCTGTGGCCAGGGAGTGCAGTGGAGGATGGCCCAGGTGCTTGGGCCCTGCACCCCATGGGAGACCAGGAAAAGCACCTGGCTCCTGGCTCCTGCCATCGGATCAGCGCGGTGCGCCGGCCGCAGCATGCCGGCCGCGGCGGCCATTGGAGGGTGAACCAATGGCAAAGGAAGACCTTTCTCTCTGTCTCTCTCTCTCTCACTGTCCACTCTGCCTGTCAAAAAAAAAAAAAAAAGAAATTTGAAATTTAAAGTCATTTATAATATCAAAGGATATGATATACATAGGAGTAAACAAAAGCATGTGTAAAACCTAGGACTGCAAATTTTGCCAAAGAAATTAAAAGAAATGAGAAATAGTAAAAATTAAGAGGAATTAAAAAAATAAGAAAAAAGATGTGCCACATTTGATGATCAGAAAATTTATTATTGAGCTATCACTCATCTAAATTGTTTTAAACATTAAATACAGTGTAAATCAAAATTCCAGCAGCATTTTTGGTAGAAAGTAACGAACTGTTGAAAATTTTGTATGAAAATGCAAAGACTTTGAAGAGGAAAATGTTGTTATAGAAGAAGTACAGAGTTGGAAGTCTTACACTACCTACATTCAAGATTTATAAAAGCTATAGTAATGAAGACGGTAGTGTTTGCATAAGGGTAGGTTTATAGTTCAATGAATAGAGAATATGGACACTTGTAGTCCATAAGTTTATAACTAAGGTAATTTAATAGGGAAAATTCTCTTTTCAATAAATGTTTCTAGAATAATAACTAGAGGCTAAAAGTGATATTATATACAAAAATTAACTCAAAATGGGCCATAGATCTAAATGCAAATACTAAAAATATAAGACATATATACAAGAAAATGGTATAATTACACTGTATAGACAATTCTTGTAGCATTTTAATGAGCTTAAATTTGTCTCGAGGTTTTCTTAACAAAATTCTGATTTGAAATGTCAGATTTGGATTGGTATGTAGCATAGCAGTTGAAGAGCCGGTTAAGACACCCACATCGCACATAGAAATACTTGGATTCCTTTGATTCCAAGCTTCAGCTCCTGACTCCAGCTTTCCTGCAGCACAGAACCTGGGAGGTAGCAGTATTGACTCAAATAATTGGGTTCCTGTCTTTTTGTGGGAGACTTGATCGAGTTCCTGACTCTCAGCTCCAGTTTTCTATGGCTGTTGCAGGCATGTAGGGAGAAAACCAACAGATAGGCTTTTGTGTGTTTGAAAATTCAAATTTGATCAAAATCATAAAAGTAGGGACAGGTTCAAGAAGATGATCTTCTGGCTCAGAATATTTTCTGACTGTCATCAGTGTCATTTACTGTCATTGCCTGAGATTAGAAAATTCATGGTAAATACTGCTGTTGTAGTGATAAAATATAGAGTAGTAGCAGTTTTTTAAAAATTGCTTTATTGAGGCCAGCACTGTGGCATAGTGGGTAAAGCTGCCACATGCAGCGCCGGCATCCCATATGCACTCCGATTCGGGTCCCGGCTGCTCCACTTCTGATGCAGCTTTCTGCTGTGGCCTGGGAAAGCAACAGAAGATGGCCCAAGTCTCAGGGTCCCTGCACCTGTTTGGGAGACCAGTAAGAAGCTCTAGGCTTCAGGCTCCTGGCTTCGGATTGGCCCAGATTCATCCGCTGGGGCTGTTTGAGGGAAGGATGGAAGACCTCTTTTACGCTTCTGCTTCCATAACTCTGGCTTTCCAAATTCATAAATAAGTCTTTTTTTAAATAGCTTTTTTATTAGGAAACTGAGTCTTTCTAGGTCTCACTGGGTTTTTTTCAGTTACAGGGCTGTTAAATTTTTTATGAAGGCTAGTATATGTACTAGAGTGATTTTTGTTTATACATTTACATATATTTATATATTCATTATGAATAAGTCCCTACTAAGTGTTATGGGTCTGTCATGGGATTTCCATGAACTTTTGGCCATATAATTGAATCAGTAATACATAGTGTTTCTTCGGTGCTTGTATTTATTGCCTTCCACAACTGTACAAAACATGTTATGAAATGTTAACATAGAGGAGTTCTAACCACTAATTGCATGTTAAACCTGATTATGCATGTTTAGTTTATTTTTGTTTTTCAATTTTTTTTTTATCATTTTAGTAACAGTGATGATGTTATGTTGGTTTCTGTGGAAAGTCCTAATTTGACAACTCCAATTACATCAAATCCAACAGGTATCTTAAATTGATTAGAATATGATCTATCAAATTTAAAAAGTTAAACCAATGTTTAAAATAATATGTCTTAATAAAACAAATTTAGATCTCTTCTTTAAAATGTTCCAATTTTCATCTGTTTAATATTACCTAAATACATAAATGATTCCTAATTACCATTTCTTCTTATTTTCTTAATTTATGGCCTCTTGTTTCTTCACTATGTTTGTTTAAGCTTTTACAAGTCATAAAACTGTTTCATTTTTACTATTTTTTAAATTTTTAATCCTGGCTTCATGCTGGTGTTGGTGGTTTGTTTTTTATCTTTTTGTTTTTATTTGTTAAATTGTCTTATAGTTTACATTATGTTTAAAGCTTGTCTCTTCTTTATTGTCTTTGATTTTTTTTTAACTTTTGTCTTCATTGTAATATGTAGGTTGCTTCTTAAGAGTTTGTGCTTTTTAGACTTACATAAAAAACTTTAACCTTAGATTTCCAGTGATAAATTTCATCTCTTAAAATAGCCATCTTGTTTGGCCCTGAAGTTTTTAATCAAAAATTATTTTTTTTACCATATTAGAATACTTGCATTTTAATTTCAGGAAGCTTTTACTCCAGTTCTGTAGCTACTTAATTGTCCTTTGGTTTGGACTGTTGAGACTGTGAATTAAGGATTACAAAAGATGTCAAGTATTTATCTAAGGCTTTCTACTAGCCATAGGAAGAGTTCTCCTAAGCCATCTCAGGCAGTCTGTTCTGAAGAAAACATTGTGTTCATTTTCAGGTTTATTTTTTCAAATGCTAAAATAATATCCAGGTAGATTTTCCAAAAAAGTGTTAGCAATATGGTTGTAAAGTTACAGAAGGAAAAAAAATCTTTTGATTAATAATTATGTTTTCTTTACTAGATTATTCATCTTTGAGACAACAAAGTCAATGGAATTATTTTTATGAATACATGATTTACTAGTTAATGTGTTTCAATGTTTATCTGTTACAAAGTCTGCAAGTATTTAATAGTTTAGTAAATTTGTCAGATGTATTCACATTTTAATAATTTTCTTTCAGATCTGAGAAAAGTTACATCTGAAAATTCTAGTAGTTCACTTAATGTGGAAACAGAAGTTGTGGTAGGTAACAAATAGTGTTTCTAATTATTGTCCATTTAAATATGTTGTAGAAATTTTATAGAGTTGCTATGTGTTGGAGTAACTTAGTTTTGTCATTCTTTGGCTACGTATATGGATGAGGTGAGGTAGGTTTCCTCCCTCCCCTAATTTGTGTGTGTCAAATACAAATTAATGTCTGACTTTTTAGCATGACCAAGTTCCAGTTAAGTTTAAACACTATACTAGTCTGACTATTTAAGACAACCAGGTTTGCATCCAGCTTACACATTGAAGTCTGATGTGTTAACATAATTGGAAATTTAGTGTCTGACTCGTTAGTATAACCAAGTTTCTATCCAGCTCATACATTGACTGGTTAGCATAACTGATAAATTAACGTGTGATGAGTTAGCATAACCAGGCTCCCTTCCAACTTACACATTGTATTAATGTCTGACTAGTTACCATAATTGAAAAATTAATGTCAAATTTTTTAGTTAATGTATCTGAGTTCCAGACTAACTTACACACTGGCTTATTGTCTGGTAAGAGTAACTGATAAATATATGTGCTAGCATGACCAGGTTCCAGTTTAGCTTATACACTGGAAAGTAGACAGCTAATGGTAAACATAGGTACAACCATACTCATAGACCAAGTTTTTGGTTTTTTTTTTGTTTTTTGTTTTTTTGTTTTTTTGGACAGGCAGAGTGAACAGTGAGAGAGAGAGAGAGACAGAAAGGTCTTCCTTTTCCGTTGGTTCACCCCTCCAATGGCCGCTGCAGCCGGCGCACCGCGCTAATCCAAAGCCTGGAGCCAGGTGCTTCTCCTGGTTTCCCATGCGGGTGCAGAACCCAAGCACTTGAGCCATCCTCCACTGCATTCCCGGGCCACAGCAGAGAGCTGGACAGGAAGAGGAGTGACCGGGACAGAATTGGGCATCCCGACCGGGACTAGAACCCAGTGTGTTGGCGCCGCAGGCGGAGGATTAGCCTGTTGAGCTGCGGCCCCAGCCTAGACCAAGTTTTTTGACTGTTAGTCATATTCTCAGAAACCATTCAATATATGAAAGAGGTTGTCTTTCATAATAGAGTTAAATTAAACCATAAGAGCTAGAGCTTCTAAATGATAATTTAAAAATCACGTGTTTCACTTTGAAAACGTTTTCTGCTCTTAAAGCAAAACTTTTTTAACAATTTCTCAGGCTGCAGAGATGAGGAAACTTGATTGTGTAATCGATTTGACAAAAGAAGGCCTACCCATCTGCGACACAGGTAAAGGATTTTTTTTTTCTTTAATCAAGTGGAAAGGCTAACAACTCAAATTGCACTAATCCTACTTATGAACCTTGGTTTGTTTTGCTTGTGTATTTATAGCTGTTTGTGGTTTTATCACATGTAAACTTGTGTGACTGTCAATATAATCTGAGAGTAAAACTGTTCTGTCACCTTGGCTCCGTCAGACTTCCCTAACTTGACACACCACCTCCTGCCCCAGTTCCTAACTCTGGCAACCACTCATCATTCCTTCATCACTGTTAGTTCATGAATGTCACATAAATGCAGTGATACAATATGTATCCTTCTGAGATTGGTGTCTTTCCTTCAGTGTGATTGTCCAGGGTTATCCACATTGTTGTTATGTATCAGTAGTGTGTTCCTTTTTATTACCAAGTAGCAGCAGTAGCCCATGGTATGGATTTACCTTAATTTGTTTATCATTTACCCATTGAAAGACAACCTAGATTGTTTGGTAGTATTATGCACACAGAAGCAGAAACAGGGATAAGATATGAAAATGTAGAGGCAAAGTGGCAACAGTATCCTCTGTCTCAGATGTAAAGAAAAAGAAATAAAATATAATTTCCTGGGGCTTGGAATCAGGTATAAGGTCTCACCCAAATTTAATGAAAAGTATAAATCCATGTATTTAAGAAGTTGAATAAACTCCAACCAAGATAAACACAAACATAGCAACACTTCATAATCAAGTTCCTAAAAAAACAGTGATGGGGCCGGCACTGTGGCGTAGAGGGTAAAGCCACCGCCTATAGTGCCGGCATCCCATATGGGTGCGGGTTCAAGACCCGACTGCTCCACTTCCAATCCAGCTCTCTGCTATAGCCTGGGAAAGTAGTAGAAGATGGCCCAAGTCCTTGGGCCCCTGCACCCACATGGGAGACCCAGAAGAAGCTCCTGGCTTCTGACTTCAGATTAGCGCAGCTCCAGCTGTCGTGGCCAGTTAGGGAGTGAACCAGCAGATGGAAGACCTCTCTCTCTGCCTCTCCTCCTCTCTCTGTGTAGCTCTGACTTTCAAATAAATAAATAAATCTTTAAAAAAAAAGTGATAAAGAGGAAAATGAAGATAAACTACAGATATTACAAAGAAATCCAAGGTTCCTAGCCAGGAATGTCAAGTGTCATCATTCCAAATAACTGTGAACCTAAAATTCTATATTTGGCAAATTCATAGGTGTTTTTCAAAACAGAAAGCAAAATTAAGACTTTGCAAATAGTTTGTTGCCAGTGAACTTTCACTATCAAAATGAAGAAAGTTCTTCAAGTGAAAGGAAAATAATTTCATATGCAAATCAGATCTACACTGAGTAAAATAACACCAGATTATGGAGTTGATGCTATATACAAATGTTAACGTATGAGGACAATGGGGCAAAAGAGAGCAGAACAATGGAAGTGTGCTTTTATGAGAGTCTTAGGTTATATGAGAATTATTTGAATATAGACTTGGTAAGTTAAAGATACATAATGGTAATACCTACAGCAACAGTTTTTTCTCTGAAGCAGTAGTAGAGCTTGTAAACCAACAGTGGAGATAAAATGGGGCTTTAAAAATACTCAATCCAAGATAAGCCACAGAACAGCAGATAAAGAGCCAATAAGACTTACAGCAAACAGAGGACAAGGGAAGTTTAAACCCAACTCTAATGATAAGAAATGTAAATGATCTCCGGACTCCATTAAAAATCAGACATTGTTATACTAGGTAGGAAACCAAGGGTCAACTATATGATAACTGTTACCTGTGTACTTTAATATAAATACACAGAAAATACAAATAGATTCAACGTAAAAGGATAAAAGAAGATAACCATTAGAAAGCTAGAGTAGCTGTGTTACTGGACAAGTAGACCTCAAGCAAAATATTGCCAAAATATTGACAGGAAAACATAGTAATCTACTTGTGTATTCACTTGAGTAAATGGCAAAAGCCTTGATGCAAAAACTTATAGGACTGAAATAATAAATAGAAAAATAAAGTTATAATTGGAGATTCCAACACTGCTACCTAGTAGTTGATAAAAATTGGAGGCAGAAGGTCAGCAGGGCTATAGAAGTTTAAGCCACACTATCAACCAACCTAACCTAATTGACACTCAGCCAACCATAGGTGAATACCTACTCTTTTTTTCTTAAATATTTATTTATTTGACAGGGAGAATGACAGAGAGGGAGAGAGATTTTCCATCCACTGGTTCACTCCCCAAATGGCTACAACAGTTCGGGTTGATCCAGACCAAAGCCAGGAGCACAGAACTCCACTTGGACTAGGTAGCAGGGGCCCAAGCATTAGGGCCATCTTCCTCAGCTTTCCCAGGCACATTAGCAGAGAGCTGGATTAGAACAACAGTCTATACTGGAAGCCACGCCAGTATGGGATGCTGGCGCTCGAATGTGGGCTGCCTGTGTGGCAAGTGGTGGCTTAACTCACTATGCCAGCCCCAGAATATACAGTATTTTAAGTGCATATGAAACAAGATAGATCAGGTTCTATACTGTAAAACAAGTCTATGTAAAAGGATTGTATAATATAGAGCATAGTTTCTGACATAACACCATAATAGGTAACAGAAAGATAGCCAAACAGTCCGTTAGTACTTAGAAATTAAACACACTTTAAAATAACCCATGAGTGCCACAATGCTGGCCCCTAAAAAGGCTTTTTAGTAGTAAATCAAGTGACTAATAAAGCAGCTGTGAAACACAATGCAGAACCTTGGTTATCCTTGTCAGTCCAAAGAAAGTACAGGGGCCAACGTTGTGGCACAGCAGATTAAACCATAGCTTGCAACACTGGCACCCCATATCAAGGAGTAGGTTCAAGTCCTGTCTGCTTTGCTTTCAATCCAGCTTCCTGGTAATGTGTCTGAGAAAGCCAGTAGATGATGGACCAGGTGCTTGGGCTGCTGCCTCTCATGATGGAAAACTAGGTGGTGTTCCTGGCTCCTGGCTTCAGCCTGGCCCAGCTCTGGCTATTGTGGCCCTGTGGGAAATGAACCAACAGATGGAGGATCTCGATATCTCTGTTTTTTTCTCTCTCTCTCCCTCTCACTCTCTTCTTCCCTCTCCCTCCCTCCCTCTCTCTTCTTCTCTCCCTGTATTACTCTCTACCTCTCTTTCCCCCTCTCTTCCCCTCTCTCTTTCCGTCTTCCCACCACATCCCAGCCTCACTCCTCACCACTTCCTGCTCCCATCACTCATGTCAAATCCCAAATTCCATTTGGGAGACTCATGAAGTATATTATATGGTTATATTGTTGGTCACAGGATTTTTACTGTTTATTAGATTTATTCAGATTTCTGTAACTTAGCTGTCCAGGTAGTCCTAATACTTTCCAACATGAACCCATTTTCTTAACCATCCCTGTATATACTCTCCTCACTTGTTTTCAAATATTGCACCTACTACACTCTTTCTCTCCCCCCTCCGTCCCCTAGTCCACAATTGATAACAAATTTCTTTCAAACTAACACAGACCCCTCATCAGTAGCGAATTCTTTAACCCTCACCTGCATAATTTTTCACTTGAATTCCCAAGACTTGTGTGTGTTACTGTGAACATGAATGGCCCTGTGTTGCAGGCATCCTGTGTGGTCTAATAGAGGAGAACACACCTCTAGGATCACTGAGCAGGGATCCCTCTCCCATGTGTAAATAGACCTCCTTCCCTGTTGCTAGTGACACATGTGTTTACATTACAGAGAATTTTGTCACCTTGAAGGAAAATTGTGTACATTCAGTACCTTTGACATTTGAGCTTTTTTTCAAAAAGGTATTTCACACTTGTAGTTTTAGTTAACACCTACAATATAAACTTTTTGCTTAGAGGCTATGGAATGGATTATTGCAAATACATTTTTACTTTGCAACCTTGTCTTGTTCACAGAAAGTCCAGTGTCTACCTTGGAGTCAGTGTTGAAAGCTGTTTTAAACACCAAAGAAACAACCCCAGTGGCACAGAAAGCAGCCCAGAATGCAGCCCAGGTACTGAGATGAAACGCTCTGTAGAAGTACCTGTTTTACTCTTGAAAGAACATTTGGTACACTTTGATTTGCTTTTTTTTAATGTCCTATTGTGAATCTGCTTATTAGCATAATTAAAATAATTTTGTTGCATTTCCCAGAAACTAGAAATTAAATACATTATTTCACCCAACAAATTAGAACATATTTTTGTTTTAAAAGTAACATCTGGGGCAGGCATTTGGCACTTCTTGGGGTGCTTGCATCCCTTATTGGGGTGCCTGGGTTCCACTCCCAGCTCTGGCTCCCCATTTTCAGCAGAAGATGGCCCAAGGACTTGAACCCTGCCACCCAAATAAAAGACCTAGACAGAGTTCCCAGCTCTTGGCTTTAGGCTAGCCTAGATCCAGCCATTGCAGGCATTAGGGGAGGGAACCAGCAGATGAGAGTTGGGTCTCTGTCTTTCTCCTTCTGTCCCTGTTTCTCTGCCTTTCAAACCAAACAGAGTAATAGCCGTTGTTGAAATAAGTAGAGGGAAATAGGTGCTGTCACGCACTGATGGTTTTCATGTAAATTAATGTGTTTCAGAACAGAATTTGGAAATGACAGAAATGCTATCCAGAATGTCTGAAACTTAACCCATTCTGGACTGGTGATATTCCAAAGTATAGAAATCTTAACTCAAAAAGAGATTTATGCTAAAAAAAAAAAAAAAAAAAAAAAAAAGAGTCTGAATCCAGCTCACATATTCTTGAAATATCCTTTTATTGTTTTGATAAAGAATGGAAAATATCTGTACAAATCTACTTGACCCCAAATATCTGTACAAATCTACTTGACCCCTTTAAAATAATCAGTATCTACCAAACTAACTGGCTAAACTTTCTTACTAATGTGCTTCTAGGTTCTTGATTCCTTTGATCACCTGCCACCTCTCCCAGAACCACCACCACTACAACCTGAGATAGTAGACAAAATTCGAGATACGCTGCCTCCCCAGAAGCCTGAGCTCAAAGTGAAACGGGTGCTGAGACCCAGGGGCATTGCTCTGACTTGGAACATATCCAAAATCAACCCCAAGTGTGCACCTGTGGAAAGCTACCACCTCTTCCTGTGCCACGAGAGCTCTAACAGTAAGTTGATCTGGAAGAAGATTGGAGAAATTAAAGCTTTACCACTCCCCATGGCCTGTACTTTATCTCAGTTTCTAGCTTCCAACAAATATTATTTTACTGTCCAATCAAAAGACATTTTTGGGCGATATGGACCATTTTGTGATATAAAATCTATCCCTGGTTTTTCTGAAAATCTTACCTAAAAAAAAGTGTTCAATAATTATATATGTTTTGCTTCTGAATGTTTTTTTTTTTGTATTTGTTTTGTTTACAATGTTTCTGTAACACTATTTGTCATTTTTAAGGGCTGTTTGATTGTGAATGGTCTTCTTCTGTATGTTGTAAGTCACCTCTAGTTTCATGAATTTCTGATGAATTTTGCATTCAGTGTGTACTTTTAATGTCTATATTGTAAAACATACACTATCATGGACCCATGTTGCTAAGGTGTGTTGTGAGCAGTACCTTTGGTAACTATGGAGCTGCTGCTGCTGCTGCTGCTATGAGAAGCCCTAGACTATAGGCAGCCATGGAATATTCTGTTGATAATGGCTGTTTGTGACCTACTGTGCTCAGTTATACTGCAAGAAAAAGTGCTCTCTTTACCAAGGCCAGATCATCCCTGGGGTGTGTCTCAACTAACATTTGAAGAAAAGAAATATCCTCCCAGTCTGTTTAAATTCTAAGTGGGTTATTAATTTGCGTACTTCCTTTTTGGTGGGGGAGGGGGTGGAGTTTGTCATTCTTTGGGGAGGGAAATAGTCTGGAGAGTTTTCCTAAATCTGTGTATAGTTACATTTACAAATTAACTTAGATTGTGTGCTACATACACAAAAACAGTATCTCTTAAAAAGCATTGTTGGATCCATTATTTCAGCCTCAAATTTAAGGCTTTAATTAGCTGATTCCCTAAATGCTACCATTTGCTCATTTCCTGGTTGCCATCAGTACTCAGAGAACATAACACTAAGGGGCTCTTAGAGAGATCTCTTGCACACCTGTACCTGAGAGAACAGACTTGAGGTGCCTCTGGTACAAGTAGCCAAGAAATTCTGGACGTGTGAACAGAGACTGCATTGTAATGCAGGGCCCAAAGGAGACCAACTGGAAAAGTAAATCTGGCATGTGGTAAAAACAAAAATAACATTCTTTCCTGATAGGTAAAGTTCTGAGATTTAAAAAATGAATAAAGAGTGGTTTCCTTTGGCGTTGTATGAATGCCTTGACTTCTTCAATAAGAAAGTTATTTTTTTTCAGACTCTTATGTCTTTTCCAGAACATGTAAACTGAAAGACCCAGATTCTGAACCATATCTGAGGGCATGGACTGCCCTCCATGAGGTTTTGTTCAGAATCAGTGACTGGGGGGTGCCCTGCAGCACAGGGCAAGAATTCACCATGAGCATGACTAAAAAAAGACCTGGCCCCGTGAGCAAGGTTTTGGTGCCTAACACTAAAATTGAAGCTACTGAATAAGTTGGCATCTGGAAAGTTGATTGGTGCACAAGTCTCAAGTAAGGAGCTTTCACAGTGATGGCAAGAGGCAGGAAGGCTGATAACACCAGACATAGCGGTGTGGGCTCAAATACCACAGTAGTTCTTGTCTTTTGTAGAGGCAAGGGCAAGATTCTCAGCCTGGCTCTCTTCTGGTGTCTTTGGTAGCTAGGTAAAGGACAAGAAAGTCTTGCCCAACAGTCACTTGGTACTAACACACCCAGGAAGTACCTGGCTTGCAGTGGGAAGCCTTTCTGCCTTCATTTAAGCAGTAGAACCAATCTGACTGATGAGCTAAACACTGACAGTGTCAGAAAAAGCCATGGGGTCGCATATGGGATCACGTATTGCTCAGATACACATCTGATTGGCTTATCCTAAGGCACATGTCTAAGCTGCAAGGTAGACCAGGAAAGCAAACCTTTGGTCTTCAATGCGAAGTGCCCTCTGCTACCCCTTGAGACTTACAAGATGGATGTGGGGGTTCTGGACTGTGTCCCTGGTAGTTAAGCTGGAGCTACCTGTCCCTGGAATGCAGTTCCCAGCTGGTTCAAGGTTACTGTTGGTCACAAATATTGCCTCAAAGTTGGAAAGCATAAATGGAGCCAGTGTCATGATTGACATTCTGAAGGTTGGTACTAGCGTCAGCGTGACAGGTAGTGTGCTTGGTCCCAGCACTGCAGTGGCTGTTTGGCTGTTTTACTGGCTCACAGGCCTACCGCTGCCATCAGAGCCACCTTCAGCTATCCTGAGTACAAGGTGTGTCCATGTGCCACGCCATGCTTTTCCTAGAGCCCAGGATTCCCAGGGTGCCAGGGTATGAAGGTTGGAGTGGTGAGAGACACATTCAGATAATACTTGCTTTTCCCACACCCAACCTACTTCCCTGCCTGTCTGACCGAACCATGTTGACTCCAGGATCAACACTAGACACAGGATAGTTTGCATGGCCTTTTCCACCAGCTGTCACCCTTTGCCAAGTCTAGCATCAGTGGCTCTCAGACCAGAAGAATCCCCAGGCAAAGCAGTACACTTGCCCTGGAATGCTGGGTAGTGTGGCAGCTTTCCCCGACTACCCTGGAAGGCAGCATGGGGGCTGGCATGTGAACCTCACATTCAGATGTGGAGTCTGACTGTGACTTGGGCAATGCATTCTACCCTGAGCCTCCTTTCTCAGTGTATGAAATGAAGGCAGTACTGCCCTCCTATATTCTGTCATTGCCTGCCTGCCTTTTTCTCCTCCTGTCTCCTCACCCTTTTCTTCTCGTTTTTTAACCAGTTCTATTATGTGAGAATAAGAACTCTGATACAGGACCTCTGTAAAGAATGAGTTTAGTAAATTCTTTCCAGTCTTAGGTTGCTTCAATATCCATTTTGAATGCAAGTTGCATTTTCTCATACCAGAGAAGCAAGGCTCTGCCTTCTTCCAGTTCCTCGGTGTAATCCCTCCAGTTAACTGCCTTAAACAGCCGCCTCAGGCTGCCTATCTCTCAGTGGGACAGCTAGATACAGCCTATTTGCCTCACCCCCACTGACCCCACACCTGGCACAGACTGCACAGATAAGCCCCAGTGACTGTTACTTGGTCCCAACATGCTGTTTACTCCAAACACTCAAATTGGAACACCCTGAGGGAAGTTAAATTGAGTGTCACACATGGGCCAACAAAGACTTTTAGTCCCATAGGTCCCTCACACTGTCACTTTTTGTTTTTTTGTAAGATTGATTTATTGGTAATGCAGTGTTAAAGAGATCATCAATCCACTGTTTTCTCCTCAAATGGCCGCAGTGATCAGAGCTGGGTCAGGCCAAAGTTAGGAGTCTAGAATTCCATCTGGGGCTTCCACATGGATATAGGAGCCTAAGGACTTGAGTCATCTCCTTCCCAGGCACATTTAGCAAGGATCTGGATTGGAAGTAGAGCAGCAGGGACATAGACCAGCACCCATGGGAGATGCCGGTGTTGCAGGCTGCAGCTCATCCTGCTGTGCCACCAAGCCAGCCCCATACTCAAATTCCTGCTGATTGAGCTCCTTGCTGTCTCCAGACTTCCCATCTGCCCTTGTGGCCACAACTTTTTTTTTTTTTGTTATGGCCACAACTCTTTTTCAGGGTTCTGTAATAAAATACTTTTGTTGCTTCCTGTATTTTTCAAGTTGTTTCTTCTGTGTCTCTCATGCTAACTCTCCTCCCAGTCAAGAGTCTCTCCTAGACAGGGGCTTTCTTGGTCGGAGTATACTGACACATGTCAGACAGGAGCCACAGGGTGCTGCCAGTATAAACAAGCTTCCTTTGAGAGGGGCACTGGTTATTGGGTCATCAGACCACCCACTGGGATAAAGAAGTGCACGTGGGGATTATAAATTGGGAGGATTCCGAAATGGTAGAACAGGGAAGGAACTTACTGCTCTAGTCTAGGGGAAAAGTTACAGAAACCTTGTAGGGGCTGATGCTGTAGCATAGAAGGCTAAGCCTCCACTGTCACACCAGCAGCCCATATGGGTGCTGGTTCATGTCCTAGCTGCTCCTCTTCAGGTCCAGCTCTCTGCTATTGCCAGGGAAAGCAGTGGAAGATGGCCCAAGTCCTTGGGTCCCTGCACCCAAGTGGGAGATCCGGAAGATGATGCTGGTCCCTGGCTTCAGATCAGCCCAACTCCAGCTATTGCAGCCATTTGCGGAGTGGAACAGTAGATGGAAGAGTTTTCTGTCTCTTCCTCTCACTCTGCTTCTCAAATAAATATAATATATTTTTTTAAAAAGATGGAGAGAGTGCAATCCTGGGAAAGAGGGTGAAAACTGCAGGGGAAATGCCACGCAAATTAGAAGGGCACAGTGGATCTACATGGAGGGTATGGACACACACTGCTCAGGACCTCAGCAGGCAAGAGCCTCAGTAGCAGCTTTGGAAAGTGATGTAGGACCAGACTGCAGCAGCCCAAACCATGGGCGATAAAGCTGCAGAAAGAGCCTGGTATGAATCTTGGAGCCCAGTGGGAGACAGTACACCTTGCCATCCTAGAGAGAAAAACAAAAGGGGAGGAGAGGGCACGTTTCCCTCTCCCCAACCACCTAGCACTGGCATCCTCTAGCTGAGAGAAGGCGGGCACCATTTTGGACATCCATAACAGCTGCACTAGCTTGTGACCATGTACCCAGCAACCAGCTGAGAGGAGACTCCTGAGTCTGGTAGGGAAAATTGATGGGGCTGGGTGCTAGAACTGTGAAAGCACTGGCTGTGTGGGAGTGCTGTGGCTGGGTCTCTGAGCAGTCACTGTGGGCGGCTCCACAGCTCAGGGCTCCCTGATTGCCTGGTGAGGGTCATTGCTACAGGACTGCACACGCTTTGTGTGGCTCTTACAGAAGCATAGATGAAAATTACACCCACTGAGACTAGCACATGGGCTCTGAACTCCTTGGAGGAAAGGAGGTGAGCATGAGACTATGCCAAAAGAACTGATCAACCCCCACCCCCCAAACCCCAATTAAAAGAGATTTACCACAACCAGCTTTGGTGTCACCTTGGAC